TTAAACACGACTTTAATCCCCCAGTGCGGGCAGCCGGCTAGAGGATGAAAAAAGGCTGAAATCGGAATTGAATCCGAATTAAGTTTGAAATTCAGCCATATTCCTAGTCCAGACATTACACCAATCACATGCAGCGGATTGCTTCAACGTGTCTTTCCAGACATTATCACCAGAAAGCTCAAGCATGTCTGTCCAGACATTACACTAAACGCATGCAGCCGAGATGCTCCAGCGTGTCTGTCCAGACATTATCACCAGAAAGCTCAAGCATGTTTGTCCAGGCATTACACTAAACACATGCAGCCGAAATGCTTCAGCATGTCTGTCCAGACATTATCGCCAGGAAGCTCAAGCATGTCTGTCTACACATTACAAAACTTACAAGGCAGCAAGCCCCCCCCCGGAACACTTCCTGTTCCTTTTGTCTCCCTCAAGACTGCATTCGTTGATCACTGTCTGTCCAGATGTCCATGTCATCGTTCATAACGCATCTTAGCCTTCATCTCCAGCACACGTTCGAGAGAGGTTCCCATCTCCAGGTACTTCTTCAGTTTCATGGCAATAGTGCGGTTCTTCTTGGGCGTGTAAATCGAAATCTGCAAAAGCTGCCTGCCGGTCTGGATGCGGGTTGCAAAGACGTGGACGCTCGAGACTGGTCCCAGGCTGGCCCTGGGGCTGTGTAGTATTATTCTCCAGGATTTCTACATCTTATTGTTTCCAGGGTCTCGGACTTTGAGATGAAATGTCTGGACAGACAAGCTTATAAATGTTCGAAGCCAAGAATTGTTTGATTCGTCTCGGCCTCTGTTTCAGGACGACGGAGGAAGTCAGTGATCTTGGACGAAATTGAAGCAGAGTGTTATTGTCTGCCGATGAACGCTGAAAAGTTGCCAGGACTGGTCAGCATGGGGCGCTGGCTTCCAGGGCGAGTGGAACTGGGGAAAGCAGGACCAAGGAGCTATAGTTGAGCACTTGGGGGAATGGTTTGGAATTTGGATTTGTCTTGAATGTTTGGATAGGCATGTTTATATGAAAGATCCGAGTGCATCGACCCCTGCAGAGAAGAGGACTAGAGATGACGGAAGCTGGGGCCAGCGCCACGGGACCAGGATCGGAAAATGAAGTCTGGGCAGACTTTTGTGAATGTGTTCAAAGCATGGCCAGCTGCAGAGGCCATGTGGAGCCAAGATCAAGGAGGGTACCAGGCCCAGGACCCCTGTCATTGACATTATAGAGTTTGAACAGACTTTTGTGAATGTGTTGAAAGCATACCCATGCCATTGACATTATAAAGTCTGGACAGGCCTTTTTATCAGTCTTTGCAGGCGTCATGAGCCAAGAGCCGCGAGAATGGGAGCCTGTCGTGGAGCCAAGAGCAGGGAGGATGGGACCAGCTCCAGACCCAGGCCCGTTATTGGCAAGACACATTGTCATTCAGATGACAGCCTGGACAGACTTTTGTGGTCTCCAAACCATCGCCCCCTGCAGAGGGCGTGAGCCAGAGCCAGGAGGATGTGACCAGCAGCGGAACCAGGCCCGTCGCAGGACATCATTCTGGACAGACTTTCTTCGATCTGTGTTTCTTTCGAAAGTTGCCCCTGCCGAGGGGGCGAGCCTAGAAGAAAACAGATGGGCCCACGCGCAGCAGCAAGTGCAGCAGGACCCCATTCAAATTGAAGTTTGGACAAGCTGATGTGATTCTTTTGAGAACGCGTCGGCCCTTGAACAGGAGATGAACGAGAATCCGCCTCCAGGACGACCTGATCCCCAACAGGACCCTGTGTAATTCAAAGTGGACAGATGTGTATGTGACTGTATGTGCATGACCTTACCACGCAGGAGAACGATCCTAGAAGACACGCCGCCCGTGCAGCTGCAGCAGAGGATTGCTCTAGTCATGGTGGTGATGTCTGGACAGACAAGAATGTTTCAGAGATGCTGCCCAATTGCAGGCACAGATGCAGCCCCAGCAGGAGGCAATGAAGAAGGGCCAGGCCCATGGGGCCAAAGGAGTGCAGGAGTCTGAACAGTGTATAGTCATAATGTCTGGACAGACAAGATAATGAAGCTAATGCAAATTTTCATTCCAGCATCAGAGCAAGGGAGACGGGAAGACGAAGAGTGCCGGTCCCAAAAGAAAGGAGGAGGCGATCGAGTCTGAGCTGCAGTGTCTAGTCATAATATTTGGACAGACAGGACAATATAAGCTAATGCCAATTTTCATTCCAGGATCAGGGCAAAGGAGACGGGAAGACGAAGAGTGCCGGGCCTAATGGGAGGAGGAGGCGATCGAGTCTGAACTGCAGTGTGTAGTTATTATGTCTGGACAGACAAGACAATATAAGCTAATGCACATATTCAATCCAGGACCAGGGCAAGGAAGACACGAAGAACGACCCCGCGAAAGCCCAGACCCAGGCCAGGAACGCTGTCGTCTGTGCGGTGATGACTTCAATCTTTCTGGGCAGGATCCTGGAAAAAGCGCCAAAGAAAAGGGCAACGAAGGAGGAAAGTGTCAGGACAGCATCGGTGCAATAAGGTCATGATAATGTCTGGACAGGCAGTGCAGTTGAGACGATTTCTTTGCCATGTGGAGGCGAAGCCCAAGGACTAAAATGAGACTGCCGAGGAGCCCGAGCCGGATGGACATCGGGTTTTGCCCACGCGTATGAGATATCAACGGGATCTCGCGGATGAGTTTTGGACAAGTGTTATGACAAAGTACTTTGAGATTTGTGGAGCCTGTGAGTTGTTTTAGTTTTGCGCCGAGATCCTCGGAATTGTGGCCCCATGTGAATGGATGCATGAGGCGAAGCTGGTAAAAATTGAGGCATCGATCCTATGATCTCGCTCTAGCGGAGCTCGCAGAGTGTACAATCTGGATTTGGAGCAGATGCCGCATGGGGTCGCTTTCTGTTTCCAATGTAGGTGAGAGTCTAGAGTCGAGTGTAGAGTCTAGAATAGAAGTAAGGTCTGGACAGACACCGGCTCCAAATTCAGATTTTGTCGGCTGCCTGATCTGGCCTCGAGTATGCATGTGGGCTTTGACACAGTATGTAGAAGCCTGAGTGGAGGTCGAGAGATGATATGAGGCCAGAGAACAGGAGTGCGTGTGCGTGTTTGTGTGTGTATCATAGATGCATCAGCGCAAATGATCGTTGACCGCCGTGATCTGGCCCCAACTATGCATGTATGGGTTTAGCCGCAGTATAGTCCAGATGCCAGAGTAGAGCTAATTTGAGATGGAGCCAGAGAACAGGAGTGCGCCTGTATCCGTATCATAGATGCACCACCACCCAGATCGAGGCGAGAAGAAACGAAGAGACTCAGCCAGGGAAGAAGCCAGGAAAGTAATGTTTGCATATAGAAACACACATGAGTTCACATGATGACCCCTGAAAAATACAACCCAACATATGGAATCACGTGATGATTCTCCAAGCAAGACAAAGAAACACATGAGTTCATGTGATGATCCCAGAACAAAAAGAACGAGACATATGATTTCACATAGTGGTCCACCAACGAGCAGAACAAAACACCTGATTTCATGTTTTCTATGCACAGAAAAACAAAGTAATCACATGAAAAACATGTGAAAACAAGAAGTTGTTCATATGCTGGTCACGTGATTGGAGTTGGCTTCACATGATAATCATATGAACGAAAAGTCTTCATATGAATACCGTGTGAATAAAATTGCAAACATATGATTATCACGTGAACAAACCATTGCATTCACATGAATATCACATGAACACAACCGCACAACATATGATTTCATATGTTGACACTGATACAGAACAAAACAAATACGTGATTTCATGTGCCGTTATTTATCGGAACAAAGCCAACAGGTGAAGTCATGTGTCTCAAATAAAACAAACCAAACACACATATCAATTCATGCGTTGTCCTGCGCCAAACAACAGAACAACACATGAATTCATGTGTCGCCATGCGATTACCACACCCACACACATCTGCACACCCCCACACAAACACACACGTACATGCATACGTACATACATACATACTTACATACATATGCACGCACACACACAGACAAAACAAAACAAAAAAGAACCCCGCCACACCCGCACATAGAACACACACAACACACACACACACACACACGCAACAACAACAACAACCACAGCAGCAACAACAACAGCAGCAGCAACAGCAACTGCAACTGCAACTGCAACTGCAACTGCAGCAACAGCAACAGCAACAGCAACAGCAACAGCAACAGCAACAGCAACAGCAACAGCAACAGCAACAGCAACAGCAACAGCAACAGCAACAGCAACAACACATACACACACACAACACACACACACACACACAACACACACACAACACACACACACGCAGACACAACACACACACACACACAAACACGCACACACACACAAATCCACCCACCCATCTACCAACCTACCCACCCATCCACCCACCCGCCCGCCCACCCACCCAGCAACCCCCACATGCACCTATGCGCCCACCCCACCACCCCACCACCCAACCACCCAACCACCCAGCCACCCAACCACCCAACCACCCAATCACCCAACCACCCACCCACCCAACCGCCCAACCGCCCACCCGCCCAACCACCCACCCGCCCAACCACCCAACCACCCAAGCACCCAAGCACCCAACCCCCCCACCACCCCAAGAAAGCGAGGGAGGGAGAGAGCAAGAGAGCGAGAGGGCAGAGGGAGAGGGAGGGAGACGGAGAGAGCAAGTAGGAAACGCCATGAGCATCTGTGCCGTTGATTCGCGACATGTGGTCTGAGCAACAGCCCTGCCTGCCCAGGCTGATAGAGCGACTTCAGATTAACGAGTTCCTCTACAGCTCGCAGCAGGCTGCCAGAGCTGTCACCACAGACGGAACAGACCCAACCAGCTATCTCAGGCAAACTCAGGCAGAAAGGTCGCACGGAAATCTTCGCAGTGTTTCAGCTTTCGACGTGCAGGCACGCAATCCTGTGCCGATGCTCGTGGAGAAGATCACGCAACGTTGGCATGATTGTGGCATGTACGCGGTTCAGCCACGGGCACGAGCAGGTGAATCTTTCGTTTCGTTTTCTCTCAATTCGGTTGTTCTGCCAATACGACGCCCCTTCTTTCGGTGCGACGACTTGAAAGAAAGGTAGTGAGTGATGCGAAAGTGGTACGCAGGCACTTGCTGGAGATGTTACACACTACCCAAGTGCAATCAGACATGTACCTCCAGGACTGCCGGATCAAGAGCGATACTTCCACGAGATACACTCAGAACACTTTTTCTTGCATGATTGACATGGCCATCGCATTGACCCTATCAGCGTGCAGGATCTCCAACGGTCCAACTCCATGCTCCAGGCGAGTGACTTCAAGTCTCCGGAGAAGCCGGTGCAGCTCCGTATATTGACGGATTTGGCCTGCGCAGGGACTGAGGGAAAAGAACAAGAACCTGTACGAGAAGGTTCAGATGTGCGAAACCTGGAAGGCACGGAGAGTGGAAACGGTGCTGCAGAGCGCGCTCACTTCCCAGGAAATCACAAGGATTGTAGAAAAGATCTACTAGTGTTTGAAGAGCAGATTCCCTTCAGTGCTACTTTCAACAGATGTCCCGGTGATACTCCTTTCATGGTCGTTCTTGCTCTCCTAAGCCAGATGCGAGCCTTGCTGAAGATCGCTTCGAATGAGTTCGAGATGAGGCGCCCGGCGATCCGAATCAAGCTTAGCAGAATCATCACGGCTCGCAGCACTTGAGCCCAGAACTTCCGTGCCTTTGTGCTGCCAGTCAGTGCTCCCCCAACTATGGACCATCACAGCAGGAGTTCAGTCAAGGGCCACAAGTCCAGCATCAAGGAGGGCAATGCTCTGAAGCTCGGCACATCTCAGTTAAACAGGGTCGTTTCTTCGTTGAGCTTTGAGGGGGCGATCATTTCCCACCGTTGGCCCGGAGTTCCTTAAGTCTGCCGGACCCGCCCGAGGACTCATTGTTCAGATCAGGATGCTGTTTTTTTATGACCGTCCTAGCCGTCATGCATCGCCACCACGTGCGGTTGCTACTGGACGTACAACTCCACCTCCACCGAGCTTTCCACGAAGCTGGCGTGTTCTTCAGGTACCTGGATGGCCTGCAGTACTCCAACAAGGACCCGCTCCGCAGCTTCGGTCTCTGCCAGCTGCTGTGGAGCTCCCGTTTGTAGGAGATTGGTGAGCTCAAGAAGCTCATCCAGAACTACATGAAGGAAGAAAACGTCCAACTCCCAGCCCAAGCTGGGGCACCGTCGCACACGCTTTGGATTTCTTGTCCGGTTTGCATGCTTAGGTCAAGGAAATCCGCCTGCAGGAGTTGGGGGAATCTTGCCGAGGGAGTTTGCAAGTTATAGCTTGCACACCACTTATTTGAACGACTCTAGCAGTGGTTTTCATCAGAAAGTCAGCAGCATTCCTCAACACGTCATTCCTCAACACGTCCGATTAAGTGCAGGACAACAACCTAGACAAGACTGCGGTACCACTCATTTGCGAGCTGTACCTCCGGCTATTTATGCAGCACGCTTGCCTCGTCTGAAACGGCTCACAGTGCCCCGATTCAATCCTGTTGATCACGCAGACTCTTGCATTCTGTTCGTGTTGATGTCGGAAGCCTGGCAGGCTGGACCTGTGTCCGTACCTCACAAAGCTGGACATGCGGAGGCCACCGAGATGGGAGATGCCAGGGCCTGGATTTGGGCAGCTGCTTGGAGGTGCTGAGTTTTCTGGTGCGCCAGGAACAGGCTCGACAACGATGCTCTGGCTGATATCCAGGTGCGCATGCTGTGGTTATTGAGGTTGGACATCCTGCGGCCAGGATATGCCAGGACGCAACCCAAGTTTGAGTTGCTGAGGGGGCTAATGTTCTGCACCGAAAAGTACCCTAAGCGCGACTATGCTGATTCCACAACATGCATCCCTTTACTTTCAAAACATCTCCTCGTCGGATGTCCCAACAAACCGAGAAAGCCGTTCGATCATCGGATGCGCATAGCAGAGAGCAGAGCTTGACACAGCTCAAAGCCTGACTACAAGACGCTTGTCCAGGGCTTCGTGGAGCGCATTCCGGGCGTCACTACACTGGTGAAGGACTGAAAGAGCTTAAGCATGCTGATTGACCGGCGGTTGAACTGAGCATCGCCGCCTGGGCGTACTTCCTGGAAGTGGCCACTGGTTTGCAGGACCCCGTGACAGGGGACCTGCGAGCACGCTCGGGAAATCAGGCTGGAATTCCAGAGCAGCCTCTGTTCCCTTTCAGTCTTGCAGCGGCGGAGCCATGCGAATCGCTCTTCACTCCTTCATTGACTTTTTAACATACCATTGCAGGTGCGGCTGGTGATCCTCCTGGAGGATCAGAGTCCACCTGACCCGGACATGCCAGTGCGCGAGCCTTGAGGTGTTCGCTGTGGGCCGGGCGAGCAGCCTCGGGCTCCGTTCTGTTCGTTCCTCCAGTGTTTGGTTCACTTCCTCTTTCGTTTCTGCGTTGAGCGTCGAGAGGATCATCGTCGGGGTTTCGGGACTTGTCTGCCCGATGTCTCCCTGTGTCCCCCGCTTTATTGTATTCGGTGTCGGTTGGGTCGAGCAGCTGCGGGAATTTGGGGTTCCAAAAGCACCTTAAATTTGATCTTCTCATTGTCGCCGTTGTTCTTTATTCCTTGCTCCCTACGCCGTCCTCGTACATCTTTCAAGAATGGCTTTTTGCACCGCCTGGCTTCTCGTGACAAGCTGGACAGCCGTATTCCATCCAATCTTGGACGGTGTATCAGGAAGATCGCTTCCGGTAATCTTTGGTCCTGATGGCTTAATGCATCCTGAGGCCTGCAGATGATTTAGCAGAGGATCAAGCAGGCACGGCAGCCACCCAAAATCGACGACAAGTAGTTGCATGAAATGATGGATACCACAGACAGGCTTACATCGTAGCTGCATAGGCTGCATTGAAGTGGCTGTGTGTGTGTAGCAGCTTTTGATCATGTTCCATGAGTTGCCATCTGCTCCAAGACGCGAAGCCGCAATTTAGGGGCTGCGCCCAGGTGCGGGCAGCGCGAGCTGTTGTCAGAAACCCGCGGTATATAGATAAGTGCAACGTAGGCCCGAAGTGCGCAACTTGTGGGTGATCGTAGGCTCTCAGCCCCCGTCGGCCGTGCATGTAGCCCGCACCCCCCGTCCGCCGGACCCCGCTGATGCTCATGATGCGCGCCCTTTGGCGGCTTCCGCAACCCACTCAAAAACTTGGGAGTTATGACTTCGCGCTTTAGGGGCTGCGCCCAGGTGCGGGCAGCGCGAGCTGTTGTCAGAAACCCGCGGTATATAGATAAGTGCAACGTAGGCCCGAAGTGCGCAACTTGTGGGTGATCGTAGGCTCTCAGCCCCGCATGTAGCCCGCACCCCCCGTCCGCCGGACCCCGCTGATGCTCATGATGCGCGCCCTTTGGCGGCTTCCGCAACCCACTCCAAAACTTGGGAGTTATGACTTCGCGCCCACGTCGCGCCGCCGGCGCCGGTTGCGGGCGCCCGAGGGCTCATGATGCTCGCCGGCTCGCCTCCTGGGGTCGTCCACGGCGGCCCCGAAACCCGCCACACCGCGGGGAATGGCTGCAAAACGCGTGCGCGTTCCGAGACGCCTTCGGGCCAGGCCCCGCGCGGCCCGAGGGAGAAACGAGGGTCCGATGATGCGGGGTCCGGGGCGGGTCGGCGGCACTGTCGGTCGTGGCTTCTGCTTCGCAGACGAAGCTCATTCGTCTGAGCCATAGCTCAGTCCATACAGGGCAGCGAAGCGCTGCCCGATTTAAGAGCCTCCGGCTCAAGCCGCCGACCCCGTGGGCGACAGACCAGAAGCCGAATGCACTTGTGCAGGCAAAGTCGTTTGGTGTCCGCGAGCCCGTAGGTTTAGTTCTAGAAGGAGACGCCAAGAGCCGCTACTCGCAGTCACAGTGGTCCTAAACCCTCAAGCCGACAAGCTTCACTGGTGCGCTTCTAAGATTGTGAGACTAAACGGGAACCTTCAAGTTGACAAGCTTCGCTGGTGCGCTTCTAACATTGTGAGACAAAACGGGGGGAAGAGGCGGAAGCACGCGAGGCTGCGCGACGATCACGAAGTAGGAACAAGAAGCACTTTGGAGCGGAGATGCCAAGGTTGAAGAGGAAGAAGGGGGCAAGGCGGGTGGGCGGGGAAAGGGGGCGGAAAGGGGAGGGGGAGGGGGGGAGGCGGGCAGGAGGGGGAGGGAGGAGGTGGGAGGGGGGAGAGGAGGGGAGGGGAGGGGGAGGGGGGGTGAAACACTGAATGTTACACATCCAGGTGCCTGTCTGTTTCACGTATCACTTGCATGTATCCATGCCTGTTGCTCAAGGTTCTAGTGCAGTGGACTACAGCTGTGCGCCTGTAGCAAAAGAGACACCTGAGTGCCTGTGTTCCTGTACGCCTAGCGAGGGGATACACGTCCAGGTTACATCTCAACGTGGTAGCGGAGCTCCCGGGAAACGGGAAGCTTCACACTTGTGGAGGTACCCGTTCGGTACTCTCTACACAGGTGGAGGCAACCGGAATACCCGGTGTGCTTCACTCAGGTGAAGGTGACCGGAGTCTCTCCGGCACACTTCACTCAGGTGAAGATAACCGGAAGAGGTTTCTCCCGGGGCTCGATCCAAGAACAGCGCAATGGCTAGCCACTCTGCGACTATCTTTGAGCATGAAGGAGGAGATGAAGACTACCTCCTCCACGGCAATGAATCTTTCGCGACTAATCATCGTCATCTCAATGAACTACACCGTCTTTCAGCTTTCCAGCAGATGACCACCAAAGTACCTCCATCTTACGATGGTAGAAGCAGTTGGTTTGCCTATGAAGATGCGATCGATGACTGGTGTGACATTACTCAGCTAGACAATCATAAGCGTGGACCAGCTTTGAGAAATCGGCTAGAAGGTGAAGCAGCAATCCACAAGAGGCTTCTCGACAGAGATCGCCTGAAGGACCCGAACAACGGAGTGAAGTACTTCAAGAGTTTCCTACGGCCGCTTTTCGTGAAGGGAGCAGCGAATGTTTTCCTCTATCGCTTCCAGCAGTTCATGAACATGCACCGTGGGAATGGAGACATGCTTCGTTGGATTACCAGGTTTCAACTCTCTGTTCAGAGAATGCAAGAAGCCTGGAACGATACTTATCTGCCGATCGAGGACCCGAACAATGCAGAGGTCAGAGCTTTCATAGCAGGACTTCCACCAGAAGAACAAGAAGGAATCACGCCAGTTCAGGCAATGGAGAGAGCCAACGAACGGCTCAGAGAGCAGCATGCTCGGACTATTCCGATCACGGCCAATCTCGTTGCTTTGATTTTTGTCTCTCTGTCCGACTTGACGCAGGATCAGCGGCAGGTGTTGACATCGTTGATGGCGCATCGGAACCGAGTTTTAGCTGACTACAATACGACCGAACTGCGTGAAGTCTACCTGGAGATCTTCTGCACGACCAAGACTACCGTCGACAACCCACTCCTCGCTCCTTCGGGCCACGGTGGCCGTAAGACGTTCCTTGTGATCGATGAAGGATTTCTGGACAATCACGAAGGCTACTGGGTCGAGGACGAGGAGGATGGCACGGAAGGTTCTCTCGAAGCGGATGAGGACGCCTTCTGGGTCTACGACGACGAGAACTACTCATGGTTCCAGCGGCGTTTCCAAGGCCGCAAGAAGAGGCGCGGATTCAAGGGCCACCGCAAAGGCAAAGGAAAAGGTGGCAAAGGATCCAAAGGAAGGCGCTTCTTCAAAAGGAAGAAAGGCAGCGAAGAATCAGAAGCATGGCAAGCAGAAGGACAATGGCAAGATTACCAGTGGAACGATCAGTCCTGGGATGACTGGTCCTGGCACGAGTCTGAGGAATCCTATGCAGCCAAAGGAAAAGGAAAGAAAGGAAAGAAGGGCAAAGGAAAGAGCAAGTTTGGCAAGGATGGAAAAGATGGAAAGTCCGGAAAGGACGGACAGAGCCAGCTTGCTGATGCTGCCCCGAGCGGCACCACAGCCGCCACAACCTTCTTCGTTGAACATCTCAACACTCCGAACTTTTCTTTCATGGCCACCGAAGAGAAGATCAATGAGATCGAGGAAGCCTTCATCTCTCAGCCCTTGACGCCGACCGCGATGGTGTTGGACTTGGGATGCACGAGAGCAATGGCTTCGAGAGTGGCCGCACAGGACCTCATGGAGTTCTGTGACAAGAACCAGAACTGTGGCATATGGTACACCATTGCTGAGACCACTTCTCAGTTTACCTTTGCCAATTCCGAGTCGACCAAATGCAACCAGAAGTTGGTCATTTGCATGTACGACCGGGATTTTGCAGTTCAATCCACAGAGTTCGACATTGTGGAACAAGGACATGTTCCCATTCTCATGTCTCTACCTCAGATGCGCAATCTTCGGTTCCAGTTCGAACTTCATCCGGAAAAGGCCTTGCTCAGCAGCCCTGTGCTGGGAATCAAGGATGTGAGGCTTAAGGTTGCACCGAGCTCACACCTGGTACTTGATCTTCTGGAACTCAGTCAGTTGATGTGGAATGTGCGTTTCAGCAAGCATAAGAAGTCGAGCTTCCTCACCTACTTCTCCCACTACGAGTACGGCTTCCACCAGAAGACCGAGGGATGCTGTTCTCATGAACAGGTACCCGACAATCTCGTGTTGGCGACAGATGATGAATGGGTGATCAATGAAGCCGACATGGAGATGATTCGCATCCACAAGAAGATGAGAAGAGTCAAGTACGAACCCAAGGCGGGTTTTGTGCCGATTCCGTTGGAGTATCTGGACGACAAGCGCAAAACGATCATGGAGTTCTCCAAGGGAAAGAACGTTACTCAAGAAGATGACTGGCGTTCTTCTGAGCTTTCTTCAACAAGGACTACTGATTCTTGGAAGGGAAAGACCATTTTCAAGAATCGAGAGTAGAACCTCGGTGCCAGCTAAGTCCAAGGATCCGACCCGTGGGAAGGTAGGATCCCCAGAGGACATGGTTAGCAAAGGTAAGCCTGAAGACAGCTCGAAGAACACAGGAGCATCCGGAAGCTTTCCTCACGGAAAGGCACCGGCAAAGAGAAGGATTCGAGCCAAGGGAAGCTTTCCACAGGGAAAGGCACCCGAGGAACCGGCTCCTCCTCCTCCTCTTGCTCCTGAGGATGATCCGGATCTTCAAGAGTACGAACCTTCCGAACCGGGGGATGCAGATTTGCTTCCTCCGCAGGCCCCAGAGCCACAGTCGCTAGAACCTAGGAGGATCGCGCTTCCGTTGCCAGGCCACGAGGTCTCAAGGGCTTCTCCGCAGTATCAGCGCATGTTGGAAAAGCTGAACAATGATATTGAGCTTTACAAGTTGCATGTGAAGCATTACCA